AAGGAGGGGGCTTTGTAGAAAACGAAGCGTTTGAGAGAGGCGGGGCATAGAGGACCTACAATAATGTACAGTATTTGAAAAATAATGTGTTATTTGAACATTAAAGCATGTCAACATATTCTGTTAGACCAAATACACAAAATAATGATCTTTAAAAAAGCATCATATGACCCCTTTAAACAGAGAGGTGTGTGAGTCTAAATGTGTTTGGTTATGTATCCTGAGGTCTTTGATCAGTGAGCTTCTGTCTGAAATGTACTGCAGTATGCATATAATGGAACTTGTGTGTATTTTTGCACTTCACTAACCGTTTCCCACTTGGCACATGCCCGCTCCTCCTCGAACTTAGCAAATTCACGCCGATCATGGATGGTGATAAGCAGTTTCCAGATAAGCAGGGCGGCCAGACCCAAGAACAAAATGGCACCAGCTACTGACAGGAGCACCACCAAGATATCAGGGCCTTTAGGGCAGTCTATTACACAGGAAAAGTAAATGTAGGTGAAAGATCCTTCTGTTTTAAAATGTAATTTATGATGAATAGAAAGCTCAAAAGAACAGCATTTATTTGAAATAGAAATCTTTTGAAACACCATAAATGACTTACTGTCACTTCAATTTCACTACTGTCAAATGATCAATTTAATACGTCCTTGCTGAATAAAAGTTAAATGAATAAAAACATTTTTTTAAGCTATAGGCTTGCTTCTCTATTATAGTCTTGTGTCTGTCTCTTTGCTTCCTGTCTGAACCATTCCTATCCCAGTAGGAATTACACTGTGTCAGCGGGTTCTTCAGTAGCTTGGATGTTGTTTATTGCTGTGTGTTTTTACAAGGTGGGGTGCTCCCTGGGTTCCAGGGATGTGTGTGCCACTAATAGAGCCCATGTTCCACATGTGTGTCCATTAAAGCAGAGCAGCAGACTCTCACTGCAGGCTCCTGAATTTACAGCCATCACACACTGCACAGTGCACACACACCTACACTTCCATACACTTGCGCAAACACCTAACTCCTATATTCTTGAATCTCTAATACCCAGAAATACCCAGATTAAAATAAAATAAACATTTATTCCCTAAATAATATACTTCTGTTTAGTTTTCTCAAACCATCTTTGTACAAAGATGAATACCAGCATCTACAACAGTAAACGCAGCAATTTATTTCATCAGTAAGATTACCCGGCTCTTTGACCAGAGACAAGATGGATTTGCCACTGTTGTCCTCATGGTACTGAAACCTTTGCACGCAGTCGTCCTCATCCTTATAGGTGCAATTCACTGCATTCTTATCATGGAACACTGTAGGGTAAACAGAGGGTTACAACAGAAGGCTACAGAAAAAGCTAGAATGCTGTAAATACAAAAAAAATAAATAATAATAAACTGAAATGAACGTGATAACGGTACCGAAATCATCCACCAATCTGATTTCATCTCTGCATATTCGAGTACAGGTGTCATCATCAAAGAGTTTCCCTCTCTTGAAGTGCTTACACTCTACACAGTCCCTAGAGAGATAGAAAAAAATTTGACATAAACTTTTGAACTCATTGCTTATGTTTGGAATGGAATACTTGTTTACTGCTTACTGAATACTGTGTAGCATAAACTCTATACTTCCATACTGCCAGGCATCTGACACTGGGAAAATGCACATTTTGGAAAATGTACTAGGTCATCTCAGTATTCTATGCATACAGAAAATGTGCAGTATATACTGCAGAAATAGTAGTTTGGTAGCATGCTATTCTGAACATGTTGTTTTATGCTTAATATAGGAATTACACTCACTTCTTCAAGGTACAGGCATCAGGGCAGGTGGGGCATTTGTCGCAGGTGGAGCCGTAGGCCCCGGGCTGAGTGCATTCACAGCTCCCACACACACACTGACCACGACCGCTGCACAACAGCCCCAAACTGGACATACAGGTGTCTGTACGAGTAGAACAGTTGCAGTTCTCCCCCTTCCAGTCTGGATCACACTGGCAAAACCCACAGGAACAAGTGCCATGACCTGGAATGAGCCATGTAGGGAAAAATAACACAAAGATGGGAATGAGTGAGCAGACTCCACATGAATGTAGAATTTATTTGCTTGTTTAACCCTTGAAAGAAAGCTTTCCATGATGAATAATGTTCAATCTCATAATGTAATAAGGTTAGTTTGAACTTGAGCCCATAAAAGTGCCTCATGTAAGGAGTTGTACATTTCACACATGCATCCAAAAAAAAAAAAAAAAAAGACCCGTTCCCAAATATTATGCTGAGGCTTTCCAAATGAAATTCCCCTACTGGCAATCACACTCAACTGCTGACAAACAGCTCCATGTTTCATTTTTAATCACAGAGGTTTCTAAAAATGGACATCTGGTGCTGGTGAATGTGAGGAATGTGACAGAACTGATATGATAGTCATAATTTATTTCACTTGATGTTCAATGGCAGAATGCTGAGCCCCATTACATGCGTGATTTACAGTTATAATTATAAACAAATCTGTGGCAGTGTGCATGTTTGCTTAGGAGATTACAGTGCTTTATTCCTTAGCAAAACAGTGTTTATGAGTGATTTGGGATTTTGGTTGAAAATACAACAATGATGCAGCTAAATCAATAACAAAACCACATGGAAATACAACAATGTCTAACCAAATGTAAAGAATAACATTGCATTGCGTGTGATTATTCTTTCCACAGAAAAACAATACAAACTTTACATCAGCCTAAACACCACTTTACTCCCTCACTGGGCTATTTTTGGTTCATTGACATCATCAGTGTGTGGCAACACAGAAAGGCATTTTCTGGATAACTTTGAACCTCTGGGAATATGCTACAAGAAACTTCTTGTAGATCTACAAGATGTTTTCTCCTAAAAATGTTCAGTTTGTTACAACGGAGGCAGAAATCTTTTGGAATCACAAATACAGAGATCTGGTTCTGTTTAAGTGAGAAACCAACCCCCTTCCAAGAGGTACATAACTTCAAGAGGTGCACTATAGTGTTTCGTTTTTTTTTACATAAATTCTTCGGCCATTCCAACTCAAACGCACCCCAGTGGAACATCAGCACCTTGTCTAAAGAACAAACACACATGTCTCAAATAGGTCAACAACACATGGTTTACCCTGCCAATTCCCACAGGAACACTCCACTATTTTTGAAAATAGGCTCATTTTCCAACTCCCCTAGAGTTAAACAGTTGAGTTTGACCGTTTTCGAATCCATTCAGCCGATCTCCGGGTCTGGCAGTAGCACTTTTAGCTGTAGCTTAGCATAGATCATCTCTTTGGTCATTTTTGAGCGAGATGCTAACGGTCTAATCAGATTCAATGATCTATGCTAAACTACAGCTAAAAGTGCTACCGCCAGACCCGGAGATCGGTTGAATGGATTCGAAAATGGTAAAACTCAACTGTTTAACTCTAGGGGAGTTGGAAAATGAGCCTATTTTCAAAAATAGTGGAGTGTTCCTTTAAGTCTCCGTAAAAATGTATGTGTCTTTGCATTATAATATTAAAAATATTAAACCAAGTGGCATTATGTTGTGCTATTCAAGCAAATGTTTCTGCAAAAAGACATTTGTAATATTTTATATTGTAAAACAATATATGGTTAAAAATATTCAGACACTTTCTGGATGTCAAACATTAATGAAACATGTCTATAGTTAATATGATGAACTATATTCATTCATTTTTTTTTATATATTACTGACAAAACTCATAATTTGCACCTTTAACTGCAGATTACAGTTTCATATCAACAAAAAGGCAGTAATTACAAGCCTGAAGTACAACATACAGCACAGGTAACTATAAGCTGTATGTGTTTGATATCACTAAAGAACAAGCTCAAAAGAATAATTTGTTCAGGAATCAGACTACACTGGTTGCTGTGTATGGTTTTGATTCCCTAAAAAGAATGGTTCATAAGAATAATTTGTTCGGGAATCAGATTACAGTGGTTGTACTGTATGTTTTTGATTCACAAAAAAGAATCAGAATTGGACTACACAGTTTGCACTGTGTGGTTTTGATTTACTGAAACAAACCAACTCATAATAATCATTTGTTCTGGAATTGGACCACACTGGTTGTACTGTATGTTTTTAAGAATCAGAATTATAAGAGTTATAAGAATCCAAATTTTTTCTCATATGAGAACATCATTCAGTTCTGGATGATCTAGATGGTTCTTTTTTTTTCTTTTTTTTCAGTTCCCAAACCTGGAAAAAATGATTACTTCCTCCACATTTGTTTGCAAATGTCACTGGGTTTGATATTTTGCATCTGATTCAAATACATTTACACAATTAGTTTAAAAGTGTCCAAAAACACTTGTTGGGGTCACTGTTAATGTCACATCCAACAATCTAATAATAAAACTTTATCACACTCAACAAAATACATCTAGCTTCCTCCCAGCCTCAAATCTTCTCTTACCTGAGCAGAGCTCTCCTTTGTACCGCAGGCAGCTGAAATCGTCACACTCACACCTTTTCCCCCACACCTTGCCGAAATCATTATTGTGGCACACGCACTGGCCGCACACACAGTCTCCACGGCCACTGCAGACCACTTTGTCTGGCCCGGTGCAGGCGTCCTGCTCGGTGGGGCTGTAGTCCCCCTCTGCACACTCACACCTAGGACCCAACCGTCCCGGGTTGCACAGGCAGATACCACACTCGTAGGTGCCGTTGCCGTGGTGACAGATGGGACTGTCTGGCTCCGCCTTAGCTTGGCATTTACACTCACACTCAAAGTTGACTGTGATCTGCAAGGTGTCTTTGAAGCCCACCGATTTTATGGTGAAGGTCTTGCGCTTCTCTTTAGGACAGCCCCTGGCCCGGGCTTCTACACTGAAGGACACCTGGGAAGATGGGATTGAGGGAGTGTGGAGTTGTTACAGAACACTGGTGTTCACAAATATAAATTATTATTATACATTACAAATTTGTACTGTAGGACCAAAACAGGCTTCAAAGGTTTGTGGTGAGATTTTTATTTTTTAAGAAAAATAATACTTTTGATCAGCAAGGATATAGTAAATTGATCAAAGGTGACAAAAAATGATCATGGTTTCCACAACAATATTAAGTAGCACAAATTGTGTTCAACATTGATAATAATAAATATTTCTTGAGCTCCACATCAGCATATTAGAATGATTTCTAAATGATCATGTGGCACTGAAGACTGGAGTAATGGCTGGGAAATCAAACTTATAAATAAATAAAACTTAAACATTTTTAAAAATAGGAAATAGGTATTTTGAATGGTAAACATTAAATATGAACTATTTTACAATATTACTGTATTTTAGATTAAATAAATGCAGCCTTTGTGAACATAAAGAGACTTCTTTCAAAAATATTATAAAATCTATGAATGGTAACCTTTGAATGGTAGTGTATATTCAATAATTTTTTTATTATTATTTAAAAATTTTAATAAAACAAATATTTGAGTAACACTTTATAGACCAATTCTCACTATTAACTAGTTGCTTGTTAGCATGCATATTAGCATATTGGCTGTTTATTAGTACTTATAAAGCACATATTAATGCCTTATTCTGCATGACCATATTTTAGATCCTTTAATCCACCCCGTATCTAAACTTAACAACTACCTTACTAACTATTAATAAGCAGCAAATTAGTAGTTTGTTCAGGGAAAACACTTAGCTAATAGTGAATATGTGTTCCCTATTCTAAAGTGTTACCAATATTTTAATATTAAAAATTTATAAATTAAATATAATTTCATTTAATTAATTTCATTTAATCTAAATCTATTTTATAATAATGTCAAATCAATACCTTACTGGTCTTTCACAGTAATGTAATGTTTTTAATGTAATTCACCATTTTTTAAATATATATAATTATTTTTATTGAATTTTCACTGTAATACAAAAATAACAAGACATCGCCCAAAAGAAACAAAACACAAATAGCTTAGATTATTAAATAAAACAGGACTACCCCATATATAACAGATTAGGGAAAGAGGGGAAAAACTGAATAGGGCAGAAAAGTTAAATGTCCAGATAGTTATACAATTACAATATTCCTTGTAGTATAATAGGGCGAAGATGAGGTTCCATATAGTCCAGATATGGAGTCCAGACTTTATAAAACAGGTCTGTTTTTTGATGTAATACATAGGTAAGACGCTCCAGGGGGAATCAGCAGTACAGATACTCAAAAAGTGTACTTAAGTACAATACTCAAGTAAATGTACTTAGTTACTGTCCGCCTCTGGTTAAAGTACCTACTTCAGTTTTACATTTTAAACACATAGGCGATAGAGAGGGGTTGTAATTCACCATTTGAAGACTTGGGTTTTGTAAGTGAAAAATAATATAATATGATATAATATAATGATTGCAAATAAAATAATATTTGTGTAGTTTCATATTTCTAATGGAGATGTTTAGCCATTATGTACATGACATATGTGAGTCTTATTCCATTGCTGACAGTGAGTGTGTAGGCTGCCTAACATGTGATTGTGTTGGACTGACAGACAGTCTGAACTGAAGGCTGGTTAGTGTGAGTCAGAGCAGCAGGGCAGAGAACAGGAAACAGGCAAGTCTGATGCCTAGACACACTCAGCAAAATGAGTAATGGCACAGTTACACCCACTTGTCCTGTATGTAAGATTTTACAGTTAATTATTTATAAGGAAGGGAGTAAAACCACAACATTTTATGCAACTCATTTATCAAGGAAGGCTAATGATTGCACATTAGAAAGAACATTTCCTGTGCTCCTCTTGTGGAATACATGTCAAAACGTCAGAATGGGTATATGACTGAAAAGATGGAAGTGGCCAAACTGACCCTAGGGGAGTTTTGGGATAAGACGATTTGTTAAGTATTACCAGATATTTTAGAGCGAGAATAAAGTGGCAACATGAGATTCGTATAAGGTGGATGGAGAATATTAAAGAGACGGACAGAACGAGATAAAGAGAGAAGAGAATACTGACGGTGTCTCCTCTTTTGAGGCCAGAGCAAGATCTTAGCCCAGGGATGACCTCTCCATTGAGACATGTGGCATTAAATGTCAGACTGAGCTCTTCCGGGACATTCAAGAGCTCCAGCTCAACCTTAGAACGCAGTTTCTTTAACACAAACACACAAACACAACAGCAAACAATAGATCAGTGACCGCAAACAATTTGAACGGAGTAAAGCCTTTTAAAGGAATGTTTCAGGTTCAACACAAGTTCAACTCTATTGTTAGCATATGTGGCATAATGTGGATCACCACAGAAAATCATTCTAACTCATTTTTGAAAGAAAAAATCATTGTCCAAGTCTATTGCCCATTTTCAATATTAATGTATAGAAATGTGTGATAGAGATGTACAGCATGAAGTGCAGCTCTTAAAGAAGTTACTTTCAAAAATAGTTTGTTCCTGTTGGTTACTGTGGTGAGTTTGCATGACCAACTTGAACATGAGCAAAATTTAACTTCAACTTCTTGTATTGCACCCAGAAATTCCTTTTTGTAAATGTAAAAAGGGACATTACAGCATATGCATCTTGAATCAGCTGGATGACGTTATGAGAGTCCTCGGAAAGCGTGCCCACTGCAGTGCCAGGGATCAGCTCACTGTAGTTCTACAATGGATAAAGAGAGAGAACGAAGGGAGAAATCTTTGAAAGTACCCTAAAAATTAGATTAGACATTTACCATACTGATTTACGGTAACATTTAATACCCTTCTTACCTTATAGAGTGATTCCACATGGCTAGTCACAGCTACTGTTCAACACAATGTAAGCCAAGATAGAACTAGGAACAATTCCCACTGTTTCTTTTCCTTTTTCTTTTGACGAGGTATTTGGTGGGTCCCTGCTAGTTTAGCTAACAGTCTAACCCTAGGTTTATGAAGTCTATTGCAGCATCACCCACAAGTGACACCTGCTTAGCCATATCTCTTAGAAAAAAAAAACTTAAATAGGTAAAATCTTCCTTCTTCCTTTTCTTTTTTTTTTTGATTTCATCTTATTTTATTTCAGTTTTGTCATAGTGACCAAACCCGTGAACCATCAGTGCTTTAAGTAATAGTTTGACTACATGTATAGCCCGGTCATCAGCTGACCCCTGCTTACGGCCCCCTCAACAAAGTTACTCAAACTCTCTCTGTGTTCACGAACACAAAAACATAGCACCCTACCTCACTAGCTGCCTCTCACCAGCTATTTCATACCTTACATGGCCTACACAACCGTTCCCCATAGAGATAGTTTAACACCTCTGGACGTACTTGCATTTGTCTTGCCCCTTTCTCTCTCTGGTGTTCCCACAAGTGTGCCAGTATGTCGCAGACATTCCACAGACATCCAGCCCTGCCAGCTCACCAGGACCACCTGGAAACTTAGCAGAGCACTGTAATGGACATCCTTCAGCTCCAAGCAGCCAACGACCTGCAATGGCAAAGAAAGGAACAGCGAGACTGCGACATAAGTGAACACCTGACCAGCATCATCCTCTCCTCTGCCCACACCCTCAAGGGCCTCAGACAGGAGGTAAATGAGCTGAAACTGCAAGTCACAGAATTCTGCAGAGAACTGACACCTGCTCAACGAGAGAAAGCACAGAACGGATGCAAAGAACCTCACAGAATGGTGCGACAGAAGGAAACCACCAATCTTCAGGAGGCTCTAACAGCTGCTGGACACCAAGCGCCGCTGGAAAAAGCCATCAGACAGGACTTGAAAAGAGAACTGTTTCACACCAAGTCACTGTTAAAAACAACATATGTGGAACTAAATGAGAGAGACACCAGATCTAAGGCCTTACAAGGCCAGCTGCATGCAGCCAGAGCTGAGGTCCAAACCCTGACTCAGCAATTAAAGAGGAGCTTGACATGGTTCAGAAAGAATTTAAACAGTCCTACCGACTGCGCATAGACTTAAGCAAAAGACAGCCGGCTGAACATCACGTCGCCAGCAGTGCAAGCCCTCCACGCCTGTGCACAGCTACGAAAGGGGGGAAAGGGAGCCAAAGCCTTCTGCTTGACACTTCACAAGTCAGCTCCCTGAAAACCCTGAAAACCTCTGCAGCTGCAGAAAAAAAAAAAAAATTCAGGTGAACCGAAACAACGCAGCCAGCCTGCAAGCAGCCCGAGGTGAATTCAATGTCACAAATGAACTGGAATATGCTTGCAGACCACAAGGTGAACAGACAGGGAAAACACGAAACAGAACTTCCCCTGGCAAGCAGGCCCAGACCCCCTCAGCCAAGAGTCCGAACCTGCGAGGGGGGGGGCGAGAGCCACTGTTCACACGTCACCAACCAGCAGCCACAAGGGGGTGGGGCAGGGACCTTTCCAGAGGATCACTGCAGACACACACACTGTGTGACCCCACAGACCCCAACGAGCTGGCCAGAGACAATACATCTGGCAACCTAAATACTGCAGAGACCTTGAGGACATCAAAGGAACTGATCCTGCAGTCTCACCAGCAGTTTAAACAAGCCATCATAAAGGAATTCTCAGACCCAGAGTCTGAACAGGGACTGATCGCTGCTGATTCTGAACTTCACAACTCAGAATCCAAAGCGGGCACCAGAAGGCACCCAGCATTGCCACAATGCAAAACCCTTCTACAGAAAGCCCCTAGCCAGAAGAGGACAGAGCCATCACCATGGCAACAGACCCAGGTTCCAGACCAACCACTGGGAAAAGGCGTCCTCATCCTGCAAACACCACGGTATGTCCAACAGCAGTCCACCACAACATCCTCCTCCACACCCTTCACACAGGTGCTGAACGGAGGCTACACAAGGACAGCTGGACACGCCTACTTCTGGGTTACAGGAGCTGCTGACACTCGCAAAAGAGCTCCTTGAACAAAACTCAACTAAGGAGTACTGAGAAGGACAAACCTCTGACTCCTTGCCTGCTGCAACACAGCATCAGGCCCCTCCAAGGGAGGAGCATCCCTTGAAACCGGTCGACACCCCCAGAAGCAGCCAGACAACGTTGGATTGAGCAACGGGCCCACATGCCCAACAGCGAAAGCTCTACCAACACAACTCAGGCAAGCTCAAGTCGGTGCCGCCACAAGAGCCAAGCGACACCGCAAACATCGGATTTCTAGTGATGTTGAGCAAAGCAGAGGGCTAACAACCACCTGCCGCTCTCCTGCCATCATCACTAGGTCAGTCGGAAATTCTCTACACACTATAGAATCTCCATAACAGTTCCCGGCAATCCCTGGAACCACCTGCACTCTCACCAGTGAGAGTCTAACCCGGCTGTCCCACATCACGGGTACCACAGATAGCCTACTTGCTAACAACACCAACAAACAACCATCTTACCCGGACTAACTCACTTCAGGATGAAAGGTGACACAGCCTCGACACCTGCTGCATAAGCTCGAGGACCCGCACCTTGCTACAGCCTACATCACCACAGCACACCACCTGACAGCATCCACCACGGCACCACAACCACTCCTGGAGGCACCAACAGCCAAAGAGCCGCCACTGGCTCCCAGCCGTGAGTGGCAGGTGTGTGTTCGATTGTTCTGCACCTTGACATCGCTCGTTGTTGTCTATTCTACGGACAACAACGTTCGAAAGGGGGGAATTTGTAGCGTCTGGACCACTCAAACACACAATATATATTTTGTTTTTATATTTAACAAATACTCTGTAACCCCCCTCAGTTAACAAGCCATATGAGGACCCATGAACCCTTCCCCCCGAAATGCGTAACACCCCAGGAAGCCGAACAGGCTCCTGGTTGCATGGCAACCAACGCTGATATCACTGGGTTTATTGGCCAAAAGAATGCAAAGCAGGGAAAATCCCTGCATGTCCCAGGGCAAGAGGCAGAGTAGAAATGGACTTTTCTACTAATTAATTCATAGGAAAACCTTTCTTTGAATGAACACACATCATCCTTCAGGTCATTGGGTATATTATTGTCATCGTGTATTTGGTCTTTGAAATTGTATACTGTTATGCAGACTTATAATCGAAACACCCTCCTGTCAGCTTACATATATATATATCTCTACCATGTTTAGTATCTATGAATTTGCCTTCTGATGATCGAAACGAGCGTGTATATTATATGTTGGTACATAGGCAATATATTAGTGTCCTGAGAATCTTTAGTAATTTCGATTCAAGTTCCATTTGCAAATTACCATGCCCTCACACAAAGGGTCATAAAAACTCCCCAGTATCTCAAAACTCCCACTTGGGATACCGGCCTTTCTCATTGGACAAGCCCATCTTGAGAGGCGGGGATCTTCTCCGACCTTAAAGGCCCACACCAGGGACCCTCCCCGGTCGGTGGTTCTGTTAGGTTTCGATAAGATGTGAGTTCCAATGCTCCAGGACATCCTAAGTTTTTGTGCCAGGCCTTCAGCCTCGACTTTTCCACTCATCAAGATTCTCTGACTCAAAACTGGTTCTTTTCATCGACCCAAATTCAGCAAAGATCAACTGGAAACTTCAGATTACATCAAACCTCTCTTTCAGACAGATGAGACTTGCAAGTATCCAAACTTAGTCTTATTAATTGATACATTAGGTATCATTTTCACCTTGTTACAAAGGTGTGTTTGAACTCAGAATCTGGTGTTTCTCTCAGGTGTAAATATGCAAATGGTGCAAATGGTTCTATAACTTCATATTCCTTATTTCTCTTCTCTTTACTGCGTTAAGCTTTTCTATACCAACTGTAGTTAATAAAACCTTACTTGTGTCACACTTGACGTTGTTCATTGTTTGCTCATAACTGGAGTCCCTAATCATGCAGATTTATGCTACAAGCTCTGTGTAGAGTTGTACAGTAAGAAAGTTATTTCCCTTAACCAGGAAATTAACGTTCTTAGAATTGACAAGACAGTTGACCCTGAGAGGTCAAGTAAATATCTACAGCGGATCTAAAATATTCATAATTAATTATAACTAGTTATGATTAATTATTCATATTTCCCATGAGCTGATTCGTTACAGTATGCATAAATAAAGAAAATCTAAACTTAATTTAATAGGTTTCATACCCAGTGGGCACCTTGATATCAATTTAACGTCAAATATTAGTCAAGACTTGATCAAGATGCTGGAACATTTTAAATTCGGTTTGGATGGCAATTTCTTAATGGTAATTGGCTGAAAATAGGAAGTTAATCCCACACTGAAATTGGTTTAATGTATATGTAGGCCAATATGTTTGACATTCAACTGACATCGAATCAACTTCATGTCATGTTTTTGATGTCAGTTTGATTAGCAGAATACCATAGTTGTAGACATATTGTAGACGTTATCTGTGCCCACATAACATTGGCCGTCATTGGGTCGTACAATGCCCGCCAGGCGCCCATCGAGTGCCACGTGTGTCTTGGCATCTGTGGTGAAAACCAGTAAGTGAGATGCGCCTGGTCTCCAACCAATTTTCTCCTGGGAGATAGACATAAGTGGTCAAATAAGAACGCTTATTTTGGGCCAAAAATAACAAAAAGCTACTTAGGAAAGTATTGTAAAGTTCTCTGTATTTCTTTTTGCTTGTTTAGAGAGTTCAACCTTGCACACAGCTGCCTGTATAATGGCGTCAAAGCCTCCCTCTGGGGCGTCCCTGTTCCGAGACACCTTCTGTTTCTTCACTTCCTCTGTAAAGCGGCTGACCTCCTCCGTCAGAGACAGAACGTGTCTGTAGCCAAACTGAGGCTGGCATTTGTATGGGATCCTATGGTAGATAATGTAGTAAGATGTAGAACGATCAGAAATAATATTAACAGTGAGAAAGTTCAGGAAGTTACAATATACAGTAGAAATGGGCTACTACTATTACTGTGTAACTATGCCAAACCTGATGGGTAGTGTTGGTTATTCACCTTTGCTGGCACAAATGTGTCTCAACATTCAAGATTTAGAAAACAGCTTACAGCATGACACTTATTGTGTATGTAACTCAGCAAATGGAGACACTTCAACCATAATAGCAGTGTGTCTAAAGATGTAATATCAGATTCTGTCATCCAACAAGCACACCGCCCAGTTACAAGTTTGTAATAAACACCCATCATCTGTAATGTTTATGTTCAGCATGTAAATATATGACACATCACTCACGAGTAACAGGGATTTAACACGGCTTCTTGAGGTGAGATGTACATGTACGGGGACACGGGTTTATCCACAAAAGCCCCAAAGCCCATGCGTAGATTGCTGGTGGTTTTACTCATCTCTTCAGCCAGGCCTCGCCCCAGACGTCGCAGCTGAGACAGGTCGTCATTCATGGAGTAGGACAAGTCCATCAGATAATACAAGTCCACAGGGTAGTCCTCAACCTGACGGACCTTCAGTGTGAAGACCTGGGAATCATCTGTGGGACACCAGAGAAACAATTTGGTCTAATGGAGGAACATGTGGTTACTTTTTATGTTTATGGGTCGATGAACTCACCGGGTCTCAGAGAGATGTGCATGCTTTGAGGTTGGATTTGGGTGACGTCGGTGGTGGATCCCGAGGCCTTGTCACTGAGATCTTTGTTCTCTGTCACATGCATTTTGCTGGTGGGATACTCCAGAGCTTCTTTCCTGCATCCTGCCTCTATAAGGTTCTTCTTCAGGTCACATCGGGAGGAACCAGCTACATCTTGTCCAAAATCCTGATAAGCATTTGGCAGACAGTTATACTGGTATAGGGCACTAAATAAAGATTTCTGCAGCAAACAGAATTAGAAAAATAAGTTTCAAACACTCCCCTCATTTGCCATTGGTCGAACAAATAAGTAGTCTTGACCCCCAAATTTTTAGATAATATATATACAGTATATATATATATATATATATATTGTGAATGATTTATCCATTCATGTTTCTTTTTAAAATTTTGAATTATTTATTAACAATAATTTATTGTGAGCTCTGATTTTTGTTTTTTAAATGTCACAACTAATTTTTCTGTGAAATCTCTTTCTTACAACCAGCTGCTAGCTCACATTCAGATCTGCCTCCATCCAATCAAAAACTGATGGATAGATGTACTTAACAATAAGGAAGAAAAGATCTGTCGCTACTTCAGTTTCACAGTTTCATCGCAGCTTTAAAAATGTCACTGACTACTCTGGTGGATGATGTGGACCATGTGGAGAAGGATTGTTTTAATTGCTTCAAAGTTGCAAAATTATGTTTTATCAGAAGACAAAACAACTCCTTGACCCAAAGATGAGTCAGTCTACTTCAGTGTTATTAAGCCTATTTAATCTTCACTGAGTCATGATCTGAGCACTGGAGTATACCGCTTATTAAAAAATATTTTTACTAACACACACACACACACACATGCTGGTATGTGTGGTTTACGGGGACTCTCCACAGGTGTAATGGTTTTTATACTGTACAAACTGTATTTTCTGTCCCCCTACCAACCTTACCCCTAAACCTACCCCTCACAGAAAACTTTCTGCATCTTTAGATTTTCAAAAAAACATAATAAACCACCTTCACATTGTAATACCTACAGTATGTCATACCCATGTCATTATACAAACTTGTGTCCTCAAAAACTACCTAAACGGATACACACACACACACACACACACACACACACACACTCACACAAACAGTACTACTACCTAAGATTAAAAGTCTATAATAAAATAAAATAAAATAATAAAATCTAAAGTAAACATGTTTCAGCTCAGTCATTAAACATTGCAGATCATCACACCTCTTGAAAACACCAGGCACAGGTAGGATGCACTGCCAGGCACTGCTGACATGTGCTAGCTCCTCGAGAAGTACAGATGTTGGAGCCTGGGAGAAAAAGAAAAATGCAAATTGTTGATCTCCAGTTGCATTTAACTTGTAGCCTGCAGGTTTATAGAAACAGAAACATGTCTAATCATTAAGATCAGAATTATTAACTCCATTTGTAGGGAGTACTTAAACGATCAGTGTGTATCAATATTTTTGAGATGTTCTGCATCAGACAAAACATTTCATAAACAGAAAAGTTCATAAAGTTCACATACACATATCAGACTTTTATTAGACCTGGGCCAAGTAGCATAAAAATAGTCAATGTTAAGACTTTGTTTTAAGAAATCGTTTGACCACCTAGCAGTTAGCCAAAAGGTAGGCCAAACCAGTCTTACTTTTCTGACTCAAATTGGGCCAATCTAACTTTTTGTAACTGACTTTATGAAGTTATGACCAGTTTTGAAGAAAACAAATTAGATGACTAACTTTTTAAGGCTAGTCTAAGAAATTTATGCAACCGGCCCCTGTCAGATACTCTGGGTATAAAGAGTCAAGAGAATAAACAAAAGTATTTGCCAAATATTTTATAGTGGGAAAAAATGTGGGTCCATATAGTGCATCTAGCAAATAGGCCTAATGTTGATGTTTTAGGGAAAGAAAGAAAGAAGCATTCTAGCATCTTCATCCGCTGCCTTCAACAACATCACGAGTTCAGACATAAAATATATCAAAATATGATAAAATATCAAAATGCGATCAGACAAGGCAAAAATTTGTTACATGACACAAGCTATAAAACAAGTTTACTGAAAACTGAAAAGACAGGACGTACCTAGTCCAGCATCAGTTAAGAATACAATTACACAATAAATCCATAAACTGAAGAGTTTGGGTGAAGTTTTCTCCATCTCGGTTAACTTGTCAGTCAGTTGATACAGGCGTTTATAGCTCTTCTCCGCTAGTACACCGGCGGTTAGTGCGGTCTGTGCCCTCCTCCTCTTCCCTTTCCTTTAGGCTCCAGCACGTCAGACCAACATCAAATATAGAGTAAATTGTGGCAAAACAGGGTTTATTTCCGAGAGAGGGGGCAGAGGAGAGGCCGACTCGAGAACATTTGCCGCAGGTCTTGTTTAGAAACCGTAAATTCCTTCAAACTATCACAGTGATTAAAACAGTGTATTTTTTTTTTTTTTTTTACTACAATCGGTTTTAACATCACTGACGTGAGAAAATAATGAATGAACAAATTGACGAACTAATGAGGAATGGAACAGCCTGTCTGACATAATCACATTGGACATCATCAAGTTTTTATACCTACATAATTAGAGATTTAAGAAAACATATGGCAATCGATTTAATAAATAGCCTATAGAACATAGATTAGCCACACAAAACTTTTTTCGGATGTGTTGGATTTTAATCATGGTAATTGATATTTGAACAATATGCAATAAATAGCTTATAGAAAAAGCGACGGTAGCCTAGTTTTCATATAATTTGTTAAAAACTGTTATGATGGATTATGACCATGAACCATCATTATGAGCTAAATGAATTATGTCATACAAAAGCTAGTGACCACTGTTTACAGGAAAACGTGTTATCTGTGCTAAATCTTCCTTTCAGATCTACAGTTCTTGTTGCTTCATATGTAACACAAACAACAAGGGGTTTTTAACCATAGTCACCCACCCATCCACATACGAACGTCTCTATAACTTACCCAGATGATGTGGGTACTGTTCTCCCTCTAGTGGCTAAATTGTGAATATTTTACTTAGGGAAAAAAGTCTCTATGTCAAGCAATCTGTTACAGAATATATATATATATATATATATATATATACAGAAGAATGAATTATTCATGTGGTGGCAAAGCTGAATTTTCAGTAGGGCCTAGTAATTTCTCCATTCTGATATGCTTATTTGTTATCAATGTTGAAAGCAGTTGTGCTGCTTAATATTTTTTGGGATACTTTTTTCAGGATTATTTGATGAATAAAAAGTTAAAAAGAACAGCAGTGTGTATTCAAAATAGAACTCTTTTGTAATATTATGCAGCACAACTGTTTCCAACATTGGTAATAAATCAGCATATTATAATTCAGCTTCCGGCTGAAATATGAGTACTCTATCCATAATATTGCTTTCTTCAGTGAAAAATTAATGATCTAGTCTGAATCAGGAGAGAAATACGCCCAGATCACGTTTGAAAGCAACAACAGTCCAAAATATGTTGAAATATGTTGAAGGATTTTTGATTTGAGAAGACAATAGGCTGGACTTTTGTAAAGGTTTAAAGATAAAATGCCTAATTGATGAACTGGAGTTGTTTTGTGGATGATTGTGATGTTTTTATTAGCTGTTTGGACTCTCATTCTGACGGCACCCATTCACTGCAGGGGATCCACTGGCGAGCAAGTGATGCAATGCTAAATTTTGCCAAATCTGTTCTGATGAAGAAACAAACTCATGAACGTCTTGGATGGCCTGAGGGTGCATACATTTTCCAGCACATTTTTATTTTTGAGTGAACTATTCCTTTAAGAACATCTAAAAAACTGTTAATGGTAAATGTTATCTGAAGATTATCATATGTTTGGATGGTGCTGTAAATCATGCTATAGCAAAAGATAAAATAAAAACAACATATAAAAACAACAAATCTGAAAAAAAAAAAATGCTAAAGATAAATGACCAAATAATACTGAGAATGTCTGAATTATAAATGAAAGAATAGCTGATTATAATAAATTATTTTCACGTAAACATCTTTGGTCAAGCAACATTATATCTAAGATCAAATGATTAAGTCCCCAATTATTTAGCTGATGAATCCCCTAGGAATAACCAGTTTGCCAAACATTTATTTATAATGTCTAATGAGCATCCTTAATGTTAATTTTAATTTGCAATGTGGTCTTATAACTCCTAACAGCTCCATTCACATTTTGAGGGCATTCACAGATAAAGCTCTTGGGACTGCTGGGGTATTTATTTTTAGAGGGTCTATCAGCATCTTTCGGATGTGGCTGTGGATTGACAGGACAAGTGTGGCCAGCAGGATGAAGGAAGGAGGTCCTGGATCTAGACCGTGCACCCCCACCCACCGACCCAGCACTCCAACGAAGAGAGAGATAGAGCCGTTCTTGCTTCCTCCCGCCCCCTTTTTGCTCTCCCCACACTACACATGCTCATAGCCCATGGGGTGTGTGTCTGCACTCACCTCTCAGGACTGACAGAAGCTCTGCAAGCAGTCTAGGCAACGGTGGAGGACTGAACATCCAGGGATGGGACGAGACTATTGAAAGAAACTAAGAGCCAAGAAACATTAAAAGAGAGACACAGAATCACCGAAAGAAAAATGGTTGCAGAGGAGGTAGTGGTGACCCTGTCAGGAGGTGCACCATGGGGTTTCCGATTACAAGGAGGAGCTGAGCACCAGAAACCACTCCAAGTGGCAAAGGTAAGGGGATGGTTGGATTGGATACCTGGTTATGCTGAATCATGTGTCTCATATTTTAATGAATGGTCTGTAAAGCTATTGAAATCCACTGAAACTTCAAATTTAAATTAGTCTGACTTTTGTGTATGAGCAATATGCAATATGTATATTACATACTACATAGAAGTTGGACTATGATGTGTCAGTATTATCTTATTAATGAACGGCATTATTAGATGAGATATATAGCTGCTACATTTATCTTAATTGCACTTTCAGGCTTTGAAACATACATATACAAATTATTTTTCATTTAAAGTGCCCCCAAAGATAGTTCTTATCGAGTTCATACCAAAATGATATATGACAAATATCCTCACACATGCTAGAATGGGCCACATCACCCACACGAGTATTTAACAAAAAATATCCTCAATAAAACAATTGTTCAAATTAGATAATGTGATTTTACAAATTACATATATAACGTGATTTATATAAATTACTTGTCATGCAAATATCTCATAGTAAAATCACATTTGAACAACAATTTTAGATTTGTTTACATATATGTATTTTAATTAAAACATTTAATTATGTAAAAATATAAATAATTTATATAAAATTAACATTTTCTTTACTTTTATTTCTTTATTTTTATATTTAATTAATATATAAAGTCAGTGTCTATTGCATTGTGTCTGACTTAACTGAGCAGATATGCTTGTTCAACATGTGTCAGTGAGGAATGTAACACTTGATAAGCCGTCAAGAGTATAGTGTTATTGAGGACATTTTCTGTGAAATACTAATGTGGCCCATTCTAGCATGTGTAAAGATATGTTTGTCATATATCATTTTGCGGCCCTTTTAAATTAAGGATTCATAACATATGTTTCAAAGCCTGAAAATGTAGTTAAGATATAGCACCTACATATCTTCCATTTAATAAGGGCACAAATTAATGAGATAATACTGTCACATCATATTTCAACTGCAGGCCAGAAAGCACTTATTTTATCTGCTGATAAATGCAGTTCAGGAGAGCTATTTGGCTGTGTGCTGCAAGCATTCCTGCTCCATATAAACCTGCTTGGCTTCACAGTGCATCTCTTCACTCTTATCTAATTGACAGCTTTTGTTTAGCTTCCTCTGGAATCCAGATATTTCAAAGAAGCATTCTCACACAGTTCTGTAAATGAGGATGTTATTTCAGGACTGAGTAGAATTACAGCCACAGTGTATACTTATAAGCACAGTATGCCCCATTTGTTAAGTGACAACTGTGTGCAATGCATTTTCCCTGATCTAAGGGCTATTTTGGATTGGTGAGCAATGCCAGAGACTGTCTAGTCTACTCTTTCCACGTTCTGAGGGAACAAATATCCATCATAGAGCAATGGGCCTGACTTTTTTATTCAGAGAAATATATTTTTGCTTGGAAAACAAATGTTCGTCCAGCATCAGGGAGTTTCCCCTCGTCTTTCATTTCAAGGTCACCTCTGCAGACTTTCATCTGTTTCCATTTGTGGTGTAGCCTTTTTTTTCCATGACCATCTCTACTTTTAATTGAGCTATTCTGATCCACCCGGATCTCTGATTGCTTCTTTTAAACCTGGCATCTAGCACGCCCTCAGTGCACTTGCTCAGCTAGCAAAATGCTCTGGCAATGTTTTGAAAATGCCTGAAGACGTACAGCATGTCCTCATAATACCTGCTTGTAGTGCTTATAATGTAAATGCATTCATACTTCCATGAAATCCTTTGCTATCCGATATGATGCAGATCAACTTAATTTACTATATTAGTACTAAATTAGACAAACCACTTCTCAAAAACATGCACTCATTGAGTTTTAAGCTAAATCTATTGAGGCTGAGTGACAACTGACCCTTCACAATAGTTGAGCACTTTATTTAGGCTATGTGAACAACACATGGTGAATTCATGACATGCCCCGCTTCAGGTCTGCCAAGAGGCACCAGCTGCACATGTTGTTCCCCCTACTTGCATTCTCAGACCATTTGATCGGCAATAAAAAGAAGGTGAATGGAACCAGCTTTCATCTATTTTCTTCCAACTACAAATTTGTGTTACCAGTGTTCGTGGAAAAGCAAATTAACACCACTTGTTGTTTTTAATGGTCTTCATAGCATTTATTTTTGTCTACAACAGTGTTTAAAATGAGAAGTTTCATAAGACAAAATATTCTGAGTTGCTCTGAGCTGAGCGAAACCCTTCAGGCCTTTGTAGGGGAATACAAATCTATGCTTTGGGCAAGTTAAAACATTATTCCAATTCCTCAAAACAGTTAGTTTATAAAGTACCTTTGGAAGCAGGAGACAAAGACAGGAATGTGGCCAGACTTGGTGCGTGTTGGTGAAGTGAGTGTCGGAACAGCGCTCTCATATTTGACAGATGACCTCAAAAAGGCTGTACTCTCAAGGAGATGGTATTTGAAGATG